AGTTACAACAAAAACACTCAAATACCTTACTTGACGTCATCATCATTAACATATTGGAAGTATAAACCTTTATAACTTAGAGACGCATCACTCAAATAAAGAAATATTTTACCAATCAACTATTTACTTTATGCAGAACCAGTACTGAATGTATCGTCAAAGGGTTCATTTGCACTTTAAGAAAGGTCCTCTATTTTATTTACTTTTGTAATAAATATTTTTGTGAGGGGAAAAAGGGTTCTGAAGATAAAAAGTATGTGGTTAAAACCAGCCCAACTTTACTAGTGGCTACAGCCCTGCTTAGTGGTAAGAGCAATTCCCTAGTTCTAGGTACTGAGAAATAGATAGATAGATAGATAGATACTTTATTATCTTAAAAACTTGCAGCCAAAGGGCTGAATTGCGATAATATTTACATACATAATAAATAAGAATTATAACTTATAAAAGCTATAGCACATTACTGTAAAAGATCCTATTTAAAATTATAATAAGTATATTATGATATGGAATATTAAAAATACAATATATATAAATATATATATCCACAGGAATATGCAGAAACCCCGATCCCCCTACACATCACACAAACAACCCATACACCTGCGCATATGTACAAAGGGATCACAATTTCTGCAACCAGCTGTGCATACACATACATATACACACACACACATATATATATTATTATGTACGATTATTTTATCGTTATAAGTTATTTGCATGACTGAGGATGAAACCATTTCTGCATCTGTCTGTTTTGTATCTATGTAAGGAGAAAGTCCTGCTCTTCCTTAGGTTATACTTAGACATCTTGGCAAAAGATGGTGAAGTTTGTGTTGTGGCTCTTTAATGTCAATAAATGTGGTTATTTTATAAGCAAAGTTAACTTGGAGTGTGTTGCTGGTCAGAGGTGTGTTGTCAACAGCACATGCGCTACTGCAGCCATTGCCCTCGTGGTCAGCCATTGCTCTCAATCGCTCAGCATTGCTGCCTATTGTTGCTCTCACCCCACCCACCCTTCCTGAGGGTTAAAAAAAAAAGGTAAGTATAAACTTCCACTGTGTTAACAGTATGACGGGTGCTGAGGTTGACCCATGGCTAGGTTGCCATGGTTACCTCTTGCCAATTGCTAGCCCTTGCTGTCACCTTGCGGCGTTGTTGGCACCTATCCTCCATATTGAGTAGTGACAAGTTAAATAACTTTGCAGATATAGACTCCCTTCGTTCGAGTAGAGTAGTATTTCTGATTGAAATAAAATAGAATAAAAAACTTCTTTACCTTTGTATGCAAATTGCCTATTTTAAACCATGTGTCATTCTTGTAGGTGGTTAGATTTTCTGATCTGGGATTCCTATATCTGTTATATCCCATATATTTTTCAAATAAGATGCAAAACATAAAAAAGTAACTTATGTGGTCTCATTTATCTTCTATTATATATATCAGAGAAATAAGTATCACACAAAGTCAAGTTAAAAGAGTTTTTCCACAAAGTGTGGTGGCTAAGCAATCGTATTTAAGCATGTTTTACATTCTGCATCTCATTAGATATATGTATAAATGTATACTACAACCTTTCTGTGATCAAGTATATATATATATACATCATATTGGTTTAGCTCTTGCCTGCAATTGCAGTCTTTGAAAGATCATATCTTAAACCTTCCCCTTGAGAGCCTTTCAGTAGAATCCATCTGATCATCAATAATTATTAAGGTGTTTGTTAAGTATAAATATGACTACTTCACTCTAGTTCTTTTGTTTTCTATTGTGTTTATCTGACTATTGCACTTTGTTTTGAAACGGATTCTGTATTAATGATGATAATYATCAAGATGATGATAATAATTATAATGATAAGGACATAGTTAATAGAGGGGAATGGGTAGAAAACCCTTTTGTTATAAGTCTTTGTTCACTTTTTTCAAGTGTGACCGTGCACAATCCTTTTTTACCATTGTTGGCAATGGCTGATTCAACATGCCAAAATCTTTCTTTTGGCTGCTAGTTCAAAATATTTAAAGATTTATAAGAGATATTTGAATATTCCTTACAACAATCCCATAGACAAAGTTTATGTTTACTTATTTTGCAATTTCGGATGAGCATAAATCAAACATTGTGCACGGTCAAGACCGGTTCAACCTCAAAAGCGAACAAAGACCTGATAACAATAGGTTTCCTAACCATTCCCCTCTATTAACTATGATGAGGATAAGGATGATGATATATTGATATTTTATATTATGTTTACTATAAATATATCAATTTTTGCAATCCTAAGGAGCGAGACATACACACACAATCATTTATGTATATACTTTTGACAAAGAGGGGCAATAAGAAAGTTATTGTTATAAAAATTAGAATCCACAAACCCCCTACCCACCCCATCCCTTAAATTTCAAACTCTCCCTAAGTAGTTATACATAGATTTACAGAAGAATGCTAGTCAACAAAAAAATCAACATGTGAGTTAAGCGTTGTGTGCATAGAACATTCAATGTATAGGTAGTGCGTGTGAGTGAAAAGTGTCCCCAATTAGTGCGAAAGCGCTAGAACGACTTGACACTTAAATAAAGATACTTATTTATCTATTTTTTTTAGTGTTGAAGTTTATCCAAATTATGACCTAAGATAAGCTTTCTTCAGAAGACTGATTAARCTTAAAGTATATAAGTATATGGTAATCCATCTGGGTAAACAAAACATTTTCTATAGGCGCTTAACTGAGATTATAATAACTAACCTGTGGCCTTCAATTTTCATGAACAATTTAGAACATATAAGTTGAATTTTCTCTCCTTAAAATGCTCGCCAAAAATTCCTTGACGTTGCTAAAAGCAACCTTAGGAAGAGAATTTCAGTTTCCATTACTTTTAAAAGAGATCGGACATGAAGTTTAGCGAATATTAATAACGATCCTCGAGCATTCTACTTTACTTTGAAGCCATGTTTGTTTTGGGAATAAGCACAAAGGAAGCCCGTTACAGCAATAAAATATTACATTCGAAACTTCCGCAATCTCCAAAAAACCACATCTGTTTCTCTTTTCTTTTATGAATTTWAAAAGTAAAATATATTGATATAAAATATAAAATAATAATTTTTTGTAAGATTAGAACTCATTTTCACCTAAAAAGAAATGGTTGAATAAATTGTATGACAGGGGAGGGGTGGGTAGGGAATATGTGTGATGTTACTTTGGACAGCGGTTTTCTTTGACAGAATGTCAAACCCGCCATTTTTCGAGGATTGGATTTTGTTGTGTGCATTTTTTTAAGTTTTAAAGCGATGGTTTAAATGGATTCAAGCTTGAAAAGAGAACTGAAATGTAAGTAGTTTTATTTAAAGTAATCGCGGACTTTGTGATGTGAGTTTTGGAAGCTTCGATGTTGAAATAACTTGACTTACTATCGTATATACTATAGAGTGCAAACAATATAACCGTGAAACTTTATTAATACTAAATATTACAATTTCATGCAAATTCCATCGTTTTCTATTGTTTAACTAGCACTATTTTGTACTATTTAGTAATTAGTGTTTCGCGGATTAATTGTTTGCACTCTAGTACTGCATGGGTACAGTGTCATGTGTGGTGTATATACTATAGTACGGGTACAGTGTCATTTATGGTGTATATACTATAGTACTGCATGGGTACAGTGTCATGTATGGTGTATATACTATAGTACTGCATGAGTACAGTGTCATGTATGGTGTATATACTATAGTACTACATGGGTACAGTGTTGTGTATGGTGTATATAGTATAGTACTGCATGGGTACAATGTCATGTATGGTGTATATACTATAGTACTGCATGGGTACAATGTCATGTATGGTGTATATACTATAGTACTACATGGGTACAGTGTCGTGTATGGTGTATATACTAAAGTACTACATGGGTACAGTGTCATGCGTGGTGTATATACTAAAGTACTGCATGGGTACAGTGTCATGTATGGTGTATATACTATAGTACTACATGGTACAGTGTCATGTATAGTGTATATATTATAGTACTGCATGGGTACAGTGTCATGTATAGTGTACATACTATAGTACTACATGGTAAAGTGTCATGTATAGTGTATATACTATAGTACTACATGGGTACAGTGTCATGTATGGTGTATATAGTATAGTACTGCATGGGTACAGTGTCATGTATGGTGTATATACTATAGTACTGCATGGGTACAGTGTCATGTATGGTGTATATACTATAGTATGGTACAGTTATGTATGGTGTGTATACTATAGTACTACATGAGTACAGTGTCATGTATGGTGTATATACTATAGTACTACATGGTACAGTGTCATGTATGGTGTATATACAGTGTACTATAGTATGGGCACAGTGTCATGTATGGTGTATATACTATATTGTAAAATAACTGTTATGAATCTCGCGTTCTAATTAGTTTGGAGCGCGTGCTTTATGAGAGCACATTGCACGCGCACGCACCTTCTGTTGCATCATTCCTATCTATTATTGTAATTTGTATTTTATTTAAAAAAATAAGAAACTTGCTTGCTGTGCTGTGTGCAGTCATAAAATACTTGGGGATTGGCAGAACACTCGAGAAGTGTCCAGAAGCACTCCGCTACGTGTCATGTTTCTCCTAACGATTCTCTCGTGTCCTGCCAACCTCCGCGTGCTTTATGACAGCACACAGCACACACGTGCGTTTTCTATTTCTTCAGTACTGCATGGGTACAGTGTCGTGTATGGTGTACATACTAAAGTGTTTTAACTGTTTCTCATGTTTTCAGTATATCAGAAAAGAAAGGCAAAGGCGCAAGACAAGGGTGATCTTGAAGAAGAATCCAAAATGTGTTATGCCTCTGCTGAATTATTGACACAACATGGTAAGAATTCRCTGCATTCATCTGCATATCATAGTGTTTCCCAACAGTATAAGGATCTTTACAAAATGCTGGGAATAAAGGTTAAATAGAAACAAATGGGAATGGGGGTGGGGAAATAGTAATGGAATTTTCAGGGTCATATGTAAGAATTAAGTATCAAGAATAACATAAAGGTATTTTTTTGGTTTTTTATTGTACTTTCAAAATGAATTTTTTTAGAATACGGTAAATCCAATTCCCATATTCAAGGGTTCCTTCATGAGGTTTGCTGCGTCATTACATAACTATTTACAGCACACTTCACTCGACACAAACAAGAAAAACTTTAGTAACAAGGGAACATGATAAGTCAAGCARACTCAATTCACACATGCAGTCCAGTAGAGAATTAAATTTGCGACCCCAGATTTGAACAACACAGCTTTGAGAAACAGCCTCATTGTGTACAGATTAATGGGTATGCTGTCAAGTGATGCATTGAATGGCAAATAATGACCTTATACAGTATCTAAATCAAACAAGTGTGTGYAGAATAAATAGAATATTTCATGGACCCAAGAATTGAGTGTCATTACAGCCTAGCTTTCCACCTCTGATCATTTTCAGGGTTAACATGGAAAATATCATATTACAACTCTACTCAGTTATTTTCAAAATTTTAACATGATTTTTTGCATGTTAAACCTGAAGATTGCTGCAGAGGTTGAAAGCTAAGTTGTGATAGACCTCTTCAGCTCTGACGTAATGTTTTCCCATTTCAGACCACATGTCATTCCCTAGAGTATCATTTCTTTATTTAAGGTTTGCGCTCGGTTGCACATGAAAAGACACATGAATATGGATACAGCTCAAACAAAGAATCTTATTCTCAAGTGAATGACACGTGGTCTGAAATGAGAAAACGTTACCCCAAGTCCAAGAGGTCTATTAAACATAATTTTATTGCGTCAATGTATTATGTACGTGTACAGTGCTGGGACGCAATCAAGTGATACAATCCATGGCTAATAAGGACTTGTTATCTGTATTGCTTAGAGTTTTATAGGGATGCTATTGAGTGACACATTCTTGGCTAATAATGACTTGATATCTGTATTGCTTAGGGTTTTATAGG